AGAAGCAGCAGGAGCAGCAGGAGCAGCAGGAGCAGCAGGAGCAGCAGGAGCAGCAGGAGCAGCAGGAGCAGCAGGAGCAGCAGGAGCAGCAGCAGCAGCAGCAGCAGGAGCAGCAGGATGCCAACCAACCTGCGTTGCCAGCACTTCTCCCCAAACCAGCACCCCAACCAGCAGCACCACCGCGTCCGCCCCCCCAACACCCACCGCCACTGCCGCCGCCGACCTCCCCCGACCCCCACCCCCACCACCACCGCCACCGCGGACCTCCCCGCCGCCGCCCCCCCCCGCCACCACCGCCACCAGTAAGAATTCTTCATAAGAACCCTCCTATGCTAGACTCTATGAGGACCCTTGATAATCAACTTTTGTGACATTTACTGTTGAACATTCCGTTTACACGCTAAGAACGAGAGGCCCCATCTTTGAGGTGCCGTGAAACGCTTTAAGCCGTTTAAAAATCTTAAAGGGGAGCCCGGTTGTTGAGGCCACCATTCGAATGGTTAAGCGAGAGGCCCCATGTTCGAGGCATCTTTGAACTGGTTTCAACGCTTCTAATTTCCAAGGACCTCTATGGAACCCATCATAAGGGTTTTGTATGTAGACCTAATTAATAATATTCCCTCAAAAGCACCGACCCTTGGTCATCACCTTTTCTGAGGGCCCCTGGAAGGAACGTCATTTAGACACTTCAAGCGGTTTGAACGAGAGGCCCCATTTTTGAGGCACCGTTTCAACGGTTTAAATGAGAGGCCCCACTCTTGATCGCATCGTTTACATGGCTTAAAACGCTGAAGTTTAGACAAGAGGTCCCATTTTCGAGGCATCGTTAAAATGGTTTCAAAGCTTCTAAGTACAAGGACCCATAACAATGGAGCCCTAATTAAATCTAATTAACAAGATTCCCTTATATGGACTGCTACTTGACAATTACCGTTTCTGAGGACTCCTAGATGGGGCCATTTTTACGTTTTAAACTGTTTGAGTGAGAGGCACCGTTTAGACGGTATAATCGCCCGTGATCAAGACCTTCGTAGGAGCCGAATGAGGACCCTTCCAGTATGGAGTCCTGATATGATTCCCTCGAATGGAACCCTGATGAGAACCCCGTTTTGGTCGACAGCCCTCTTTTTAGAAGGCACCGTTTGAAAGGGCTCGCATTAAGGACCCTGAAGGACCCCAAATGAGAAACGTCTCATGAGGCCCTGCAATGAAGGCTTTTGACAAGGGTCCGTCACAGATACTCCGAGCAAGGGTTTTTACGTTGAGATCTCCAGAGGGATTCCCACGGGCCCATGAAGGAGCGCTGGTCCGGATAAGGACCCGTTATTGGGACGCCCATAACTGATTCTCGATAGCGACCTTACATAGGGGTCTTGATGTCTAAAGCATGCTTTAGCATTTCAGTGTTTAAGCACGGATTTCGTTTAAACATCAGGCGTTTAAGCCTGCGATTGAACCGTGTAAACCTTTAAACATCTCTAACCTCTAGGTCTCCTTTGTTTAAACACTGCTTGTTTAAACATGCGTTCGTTTGACCGTTGAAACATAGCCCCTCGCTCAACCCTGTAAGCCACGGCGCATGCTAAAAAAGCACCAGGTGGTATCTGCTATAGGCCGGAATGTGCGAGGATCTATGCGTAATGCACAGTCCACTCTGCAAAGCTCAGACTACGTGATCACGCAGTCGACGCACCTTATTGGGCCAGTTTGTGAAGAGTGTCTCAACGACCTCCTTGCTCAAGGCCTGAGCATACCTCAGCGCAAGCAAGACCTAAACACTTGCCACTTGACCCAAAATCCTGAACCTCCAAGCCCCAGCTCATCAACTCCAAGTCCTAACTCTCAACTCCAAGACCCAATCGGCCTTAAACTCCAAACCCAGGCATCCGCTCACGCGGGATACGGATGGCTAGCAGAGCATGGATCTAGGAGCCAGCCTCCGGAGTGGCATGGAACAAAAAAGACTGCGCAGTTGGGCTCGCCAGAGTTAAGAGGGATGTAATAGAGTTTTGTGTTTAAGGCTTTGGGGTTTTACGGTTTAGGATGTAGTGGTGTAGAGGTTCAGCCTCGGAAATAGTGCTATTAGGATAGGGCTTTTTGGGTTTGAGTGTTTAATTGTTGCATGCCCTCTGTCCTGAAATATGTCCTGCTTTGCGAAAACTTAACAGCGCATCCTGTTATCTAAAACTTAAGTTAAGCCAGAAAGATTTTGTTTCGCATATTTTCTCATAGAAAACATCTAGTCGTAAATTCTGAGCCTGGCGGCAGAGGCCAGCCTCGCCGTTCCCCCCTTCCAAAACCCAAAACAGAGTCCCGATTGGCCTCAAGATGCTGCAAGTCATAAGAAGCCATGGTTTCTTGGGGTTTTCAAGTCCTTATTTCGACCCAATTATGCTGAACATGCTCGCGTACGAGGCGCGCGCACGCCCCGTAAGCGAGCATCATCAGCACAATTGGGGTCCCATGTTGGTTAAATTGTCGTCAGGAGGGTTAAAACCTCAGAAGAACCATCAAAAAGGGATTTGAGCATAGTTTTCTGCACAGGCTGACTATGTTTTGGCAGACATGTGCCATTTCTGCATATTTTGCAATTCCGAACAGCAAGACCCCATAACCAGCAGAAGCGCAAATCTTGAATAGAGATCTCCGAGCTGCTTATGGCTCATGGTGTTTGCGGCTCGTCAGCACGAGGCATGGATGACTCACAATTTCCCATGACACCACTGCCGAGGAGCCATGAGGCGTTTAGGCCAAACCCTGCCATTCCACCCACATCCCTGTAGGTCTTCAGCGTAAACTCGGCCATCCCCAACCATCAAGCCCTCTTGCTTTAACCCATGCCTCCAGCGAAGCCATGCTGAAGTTGAACGGCTGCCTGACTGGGCAGAAAGTTGCCACAGTGCATGTGAACGATGCCAGAAGCAGAACGGGTAGCAGGACGGGTGCTTGACAGTGACGAGTTAGAATGTGTAGCGCTTAGGGTTGAAGATTCATGGCTTAGGGTTCGGGTATACGGTTCCGGCTACAAGCACGAACAGAACAACTCAAGAATAGGTCCTCGTATAGTCCTTACATACTCTGACGCGTTTAATTTGTATCCAAATTCGATAAACTAGTTGGTACAATTCTGGAATACGAACAGGACCGGGACCGTGCAGGATGTGAAGCACCATCTCGAGGCATTCGACGTTGTCTTTTGGATTTCGGGCTGTGAATTAAGTTAGGGTTTTGGTCGTAGGGTTTGGGCTTGCGGAATTCAGGGTTTTGGGCTCAGGGTCTGGGATTGTTGGGGGTTTAGGGTTTAACAGTTTAGGGATTACGCTTTCGGACTTATGATTTTAGTAGAGTATACAATGCCAGTACAAACGAACCCCCATGAGTCCATTGGTTTCAGACGACAAGCAGTCAGCACTAGATAAATCTCACCAAGGACCAAGCCCTAATTAAACTGGAGGAGTAGGGTCCCAAAGCGAGGTCTGTCTTAATACGCCCCTACGAACCTCATAAAGCGCAAAGCGCAAAGAAGAACTTCTCAAAATTCTCCCTGCATAATCTCCATGAGGGGACCCTCCGTAAGCCTTCACAACCATATACCCTTAGTATCCCTACTGGTAAATGCCCATGTCTATAGATCGAGACTAGAACCCTGTAGAGAGAGAAGACTTTCCTGAACCATCGTGATGGCTTCTTGAACACTACTGGCTAAGGGGTTACGGCCTGGCACTGAAGGTACCATGACCCTTAGCCTTAGAGTCGTCACGGCTTAGGACATGTTTGCTGCAGCATGTGAGCTTCCAAGGCAGAATGGACCCCCAAAGTAAGGATGTGTTGGTAACACTCATTCTCGAAGACACGTAATTACTTCCTAACGCTCCTATGACGGTATTTGTGGCCCAGGTGGAGTACAACGTTCCTCCTCGGTTTCAGCAGCGCATCCTCCACGAGGGCCGAAACCTGGAGGACGAGTCGTGAATGGGCTCATTTTCAGCTAAGTTCGACCCGACCCGACCTCACCTCAAACACTGCTGAAAAAGAAGCGGTCTCACAATCGCAGTATTTGAGGCTAGTGTGTGATTTATTGGATTTGGGAAGCTCGTTTGAGAGTAGCTACCCTGTTGGAATGTGTCACCCTTAAAACTGACTTGAATGCAGTTGCTTGCTAGGGTACTGCAAACTCAGTAGCCAGTTTCCGGCCCATGCACACATCAAGCTTGAGTAGACTGCTTGCAGTGGAGGGCCTTCGATTTCTGGCTGCAGGGGTGGAGTGCATCAATGAAAGGAGTTGTTAAGCAGTGATCCAAAAAGTCAGCTTTGGCAGTCTGATTTCCGTGTCATACTGCTGCCCCTGATAGCTGGGTTCAAGAAGCACACTTCCTGCTTGACAGCTTGAGTTGCATGTTTTGGGAAGTCATTCAGATGCTTTCGCGCAAGTACTACGACCTGTCAAGTCAATGATTTCAAAACCCAAGATCGGTTTCATCTATCGCTTGAAACACTGCAGTCACTGCATGCTAACTCGTAGACATGCGGGCGCCATGCATCCCACAATATCCCACACTTTCAGCACATTTGCCAGTTACATCTGTACCTTGGGAATTATAGCTCCAAGATGCTCTCTTAAGGTCTAGGGAGTTAGGATTAGTTTTCAGTGTTCTCATTATCCACTGAGAGATGTACATGGGTAGTTTTGAAACATTCCCACATGGACCACAAAAAAAGCAGAGCAACGTTTAGCAAGTCTCCTGCATTATTAGCACTACAGGCCCTACTCAAGTCCGAACTACCCGGAATTGGGATCTGCACACGTCATACGGCTGGCCCTATGATGCCCTATGAAAGAGTGCTATACGGTTTTGTTGCAAGGTAGTTGGAGGTCTAAGTCCACAGTCCTGCGCTGAGCCTGGTCCTGTAGGACACCGACACGGTGGAGGAGCCTGGGTCTTGCCTGGAAATCCTAAACCCTAGGCGTGTGTTTTTAGGGAGTAAGGGTTTGCCTTCAAAAAGATTTAGTCCTAAGCCCAAACCGCTGATGGCCCAAGTTGTTTTTCTCAAGGACACGGCAAAGGAGTTCTTCTCGGAACCAATGCAGGAATATATTGCAAAGCCCGAACACCAGAGCTCTTTGTCGCAGCAGCTTCAGCGCCATCGAATAAACTCTAAATCAAAGACACCAAAGCCCAAACCCTAAGCCCTAGACTTCCTAAACCCTAAATCGCTGTACCCTAAGTTTCCGTCCCCAAAATCCCAACCTAGGATTTGGGGGAACAAGTCGACCTGCAGTGGTTGTTGCTGCCCTTCCCGGACACTGCTTGCGAGGTGCTCTGTCTGTACCATCCTAAAATGGGGATCAAAAGAGAGGTTCAGGGCTGATGTGCATTAAAGTGTAGGTTTGGGACTGAAGGTTTAGGGTTAAGGCTGTGCGGTTTAGTGCATTGAGCAAATGGTGTTGTGTTTGGGGTGCTGAGTTACTTCAGGGTGTAACGTCCTCAACCTTCTGGGCAGAACTGAAAACATGGGCCCCTGACTTGCATCTGGTATGAGGAAGATGCCAGAGAGCTGGCAGAGGCTGCAGAAAATGGGTGGAGACTCAAGCTGGAGGATCGGCAGAGGGCTTCCGGGCGTTGGTCTTGTAATGAGAGTTTAAGGGTTTCAAGTTTTTTTGTTTTTTTGCGTGTGGGGTCGGGGCTTATAGAGTCTTGATAGGATCTTATAGGGATGCTGCTGTACCGCTTGTTGCGAGGGAATTGGCATGCGCGCGTGTATCTGAAGGGAGGGCGGTGGCTACTCATTTGCTTTCACTTCTAGTGCTTCGCATAGCATCCAAGCCTCTCCGGCAAAACTTCAAGTCATCTCCATGGATTTCTGAAAACCAAGAACATGGGGTACTCGCATCGGCCTCAACTCCGCTTGTAATGCCATCTACTCGCATGAAGCAGCGCTCGTTGGTTCGTAGGACGTACGCAGTTTTGACCTGTACGCGTCTGCATACAAAACTCCCGAAAGACATGTTTCCAAAAGCTTCTCAACTTGAACGCGCTTTTTTCTTAATCCGACCGTGTGTGCACGCTGCAGAGCATCTGTCTGTGTTAGTGCAGCATGTCGGAAGCAAGCTCGTAAGAACCACGGCTTCCACACGATCAGCACAATCAGCATCAGCACCAGCACCAGCAGACTTTGAAGAGCCGCCGAAAGCAATAACACTGCCAATGCCTTAAACACCTTCAATTCCAGACCCCTATAGCCTATAAGCCGGAAATCCTGAGCCCGACCCCTTAGAGTTCTGAGACTCAGCACCCCTAACACGTCGACCTCAAATCCATAGAACTCTCAAAGCCCCAGAATCCTCAATCCGAACTCCCCCGAAACCCTTCAACGACCTCAAGCCGTTGAAGCCCGCCCCGAACCCCGAAAACTCCTGAATCCCAAAGTCCTCAAACATTACACCCGTAAACTTCTAAACTTTAAATACCTACCAGGAGATCCTCCGGCGCCCCCGTGATCCGGATCTGGTATTGCGTCCATGTTAGAATTCCTTTTTACCTTGTGGGTTCTAAGGTTTAGGCTGTGAAGGTTTCGGGTTTCGGGTTCAGAGTTTGAGTCTTAAGGTTCAGGGCCTCTTTATAGACCAACCAAAGGGGAGAGATCAGAAAAGCACCTCCTAAGTGTCCAAATCTCCTTGGGCCTCAAGGTATTCACATAGCAGCTCCAAAGCACGTACCTGGGAATTTCACCTGAATTACACCCTGACCCTATTGGGATCCTCCTTTTTTACAATTAGGAGTGAAATAAGGTCTTCGCGAACCGGCGGCCAATGGGCGTCGCCGCAGCCAGGTCCAAAGAGGGAATGGGGGAAGACATACTTGCCAAGGAGAATCAAGTGGAACCCTGCTGTATGATTTACGATATAGGAATTACCAAGAATGGAGTACCAAATTGAAAGGAAATTAGATTGCAAATTAACGAAATCGTGTTCAGATAAGTGTCTCAAGGATTAATGTAAAG